GGTTTCTTGAAGGGGTAGTGGCAAATGAAAACTTCTTCCAACGACTTTAGAAATTTGTTGCTGAGCTCGACTTGTTCTTTTCCCAACTGTGTTCATTTTTGTAACAACCTGAAATGCTTTGGCTCTCTGAATTAAAACTTTTTCATAACTGTTAAGGCAAGTTAGCTCTTTCGGCTGCGCACAAACATAGAGATCGTTAAGAATGCAAGTAGGAGGCATCTGACCTTTCCTTAGTTTTTCGAGGCAGCCCCGACAAATCCATCCTGTTTTGCACTCTTCTTTCTTTATGTCTTTTATTCTTTTCCATATGTGTCCTACAATTTGATTTTTTAGGTTTTTCAAAAGGCTTACTTGCTGCTTACTAAACAACTTATCGCATGAGACACAGGGAAACACTGGGGTTTCAGAAGAACGCTTCTCCAATGCCTCAAATGCTTTTTGATATTTTTCGAACAACTGAGACTCAGATTCAGGGACCTTGCTTTCACTTGTGTCATCTGTAAGAAAGGCTTTTGTTTGCTCTTTAAATTCCCTTTCTATCGAAAACAACACGTTCACCTGCACGTTAAGAATACCATTTTTAATTAGCATAATCTTCTTAGTTATTTTCAACAGTCGGTAAATTTTGGAGACAAGACTACGAATTGCAGGAAAGTGAGGATAGATTGTTCTCAGAAAAGGAAGTTTCGAAACACATGCTCCTGAGTAACAGTCCAAAGAGTGAGGATGAACACCTACACGAGATGATACACCACTTTGACATGAGTGCTCTCCCATGCTGACAATAAGCTTAGAACCTTTAGTGAGAGAGCTGGCAACTATTTCATTGTAAAGAGATTTAAGTTGCTCTAAGTGGTCAGGCTCAATGAAGCACATATCTGAGTTGCATTTCCACTGTTTCTTTGGAGAACTATGAGCTGTGCTGGGCTCATTACCAACAGTTATTTGTTTACCAGGAAACACTCTATACGTAAACTCCCACAAATAAGGCTCCGACGTGGAAACATGAAGACTGTGCCCACACAACGCCTCAACATTGTCTTCAAACGTGCTTGTTGCAGATAGCTTAGCAAGAGACTCTTTAGCACGATTTTGCAGGCTAACAAATAGCTTAAGGAAATTGTTTTTGTAATTTTTATAAGCATGCAACACCCATTTCAAGAGCTCTTTAGCCCTTAGCAACCTTTTGGTATAACCTTGCTCAAGTATTTTCTTTGCTATAAGTCTGGCTATTTTCTCACAATTTATTTTCCCCAAGAAAATATGTGAAGCTGCAACAGTTTTTTTAATTTTCCTTTTTGCATTTTGTAATGATTTTCTTTTCCCATCAGATCTATTTCTAAAAAAAAAGCGTCTGCTTTGATAGGCTGCACACTTTCGCACCCTTTCGTGAAAAACCTTAAGTTTATATCGCAAGCGAAAGTGGCCAGGGTGTTTTGCACAAAGTACTTTGTAACGTCTCCTGCGATTAGATTGTTTCATTTCTTGTTTTGCACCGTAGTTTAAACGTTGTTTAGCTTTATAATATTCTGGATCAGTAGAGTATTTCTGACGCACTCTAGCCTTGTGTGGCTCAGGATCAGTAGAATACTGCTGACGCTTCCTAGTCTTGTGTGGCTCAGGATCAGTAGAATACTGCTGACGCTTCCTAGCCTTGTGTGGCTCAGGATCAGTAGAATACTGCTGACGCACTCTAGTCTTGTGTGGCTCAGGATCAGTAGAATACTGCTGACGCTTCCTAGCCTTGTGTGGCTCAGGATTAGCAGAATATTGCTGCCGCAACCTAGCTCTGTGAGGTTCAGGATTAGCACTGTACTGCACACTTTTTCTTAACCTCTCAGTTTCAATATTAGCTAGATAACGTTTTCTGGCTTTGGATTTTTCTCCTTTAACATGTTCAAGGTACCAAGCTTTAGAAGTAGAACTCTTATTAGTGGATTGTATGCTAGCTTCTTCTGTTTTTCTTTTTTTTATAGCAGGGGCGTTTTCTAAATACCATTCTTGTTTTCTTTTTCTTGCCAGTCTTTCTTTAGAAGGCATACTGATGTTAGATTAGAAAGAAAGTAAATGCAATTAAAACATGGACGTGGTATCTTACCAAATGATCCTAAGAAATGTTCTCAATCATCTCAATGTTCTTGAACTAGATCTCTTCACTAAACATAAACAATGCTGCTCTTTTTGTAAAAATAAACAAGACATCAAATTTTTTTTATTTACAGCTGGTAATTAAAAATGGTTATAAATAGTTTGGGTGAAATATATAGACCACGGCACAACTACATCTCATTTCATTTCAATAATATTGTTTGTGTAGAACTAAATTCTACATTTTTTGGTCTTATCTGCTATAAACCAATTAAAAACTTTTTGACACACCTACCAAAATTACTATTTAACAAAAATTGCTACGTTGGAAGTTTTTGAAAACATGTGTTAAACGTATAGTCAACAGGGTGGTTGTTTCTATTTATGATTTTGTCAAGAATATGTTTATTTTAAACTAAACACACACTTTGAAACTGTATAATCTAGTCATCATCCATTAATATAGGTTCTGTGTCTGGGGCTGTAAATTCAGCAATGTTCATCTTGAACAACATAAAATGCGTTGGTGTTACATAAGTGTTCTGATAATTAAACCCGTATATCTAAAGACTAGTGTAAATTGAGCCCTTATTATAGAAGTAAAAATGTAATCAAACAGTTTAGGTTTGTTGGAAATAGCATAAGGCAAAACGAATATTGAAAAACTAATTAATCCTATATTTACATTTTAATTGCTGGTTTAACATACGTAAAGTGACTTTCCCGATTCTTTTATTTGTTTTAGTGTATCAAAACATAAAACAAACCTTAGTACTAGTACTAAGTTTCAAGTTACTAGGTTTCATATGTTTTGATAAGTAGTATTAAACTGTTAAAAATGACGAACTGCTGTACCAGTGTACCATCGGTACACTGCATTTTTCAATGGAAAGTATCGGGGAATATCACTGCTCTAAGTAATTTTATATAGTAAGTAGTTCAAATCATTCGGTATACCTGAAAAAATACTTTATGAAAGTTTAAAAATAATTTTTCAGCTGTTCCTATGAATTTCTCTAACATTTAAATTAATTGAGATTTAATCGCAGCTGGTCCTTCTTTTGTTTTGATTTTAATCCCATGTTATTTAAATGGGCCAAAATCGTACTTTGAGGGCTTGCCAAGGGTTTATGGTTCAACTCACCGACTTGAGACCCTCAAAAGGCACATCTACACGTTAAGGGCTTTCAAACAACATAAAGAACATTAAAATTGAGCCAGTGGTTTGGGCTGTAGGTCCGTCAACATTCAAGGAGAAGGAGAAGGAGGAGAAGGAGAACACGGAAAATTTGTGAATTTTCAAACTAGTTTTTCTTGGCTCAAACACAACAGTTTTTTAAATTCTTTTTTTTATTTTGTTGAGGATGAGTGCCCCTATCCAATAGATGAACAATTATTTTAATAGCTTTTGTTTCTTCAGAGCTATAGACGAGTGAAAAAGCCACTTTGTCACGTCAAGTATATATACACTGCAGCAGCTGTGTACCGCTGGGGGACTTGGCGGGGCGGAACGCTGCCGCGTTCCTTAATACAGCCTAAAGTAGTGGCAGCCTTATCCACCCACTGATATTTCAAAATAACATTACAGTTATAGAACGGAGTCAACAGTCTACATTGCAATGTTGGATGATTCAAATTCATACATGATAATTTTTTTAGTACAGCAAAACCTCATTCATCCACACTAGTCAGATGAATGAAAGTCAGAATTCATTCAAATAGATTTAATTTTGTTCAAGAAAAGGCTCTAGGGCAGGATTTTTAACTATAGACCTATGATAAAGACATGAAATCTTTTGTGCCCTGGGGGACTTTATCAAGTGTAAACAAAGATTGTCAACCATTTTGTTAACTTCCTGTGTCTACACTTGGCAAAGTTCCCCAGTGGATGCAATGTTGTGTTTTTATCTAACCTATGTGTGTTCTATGACCTGAACTTCTTCTAAGGTAAGCTGACTTTTTGTTTATTATACAATAGCCTTGACTTAATACTGTAAAAATAAAGCAGTATCATGTGTGCCTCAACTATACAATGAAAGGCCATTTACAGAAAAAAGGTGGAATTCTGAATAAAAAAGTGAAATACGGAAGCACTGCAAACTAAGCTGCGAAACCGTGCAGTTTACAGTGGTCCATGTGTAAGTTAGCAGTATTACTTTTTACAAACTGCTTGTTTTTTTCTAACAACACTTTTTAATAGAAACAGATAACATGTCTTCATTTTTAATAGAAACAGATAACATGTATTGATTGTTTGGTAGATTGTGAGTCTTTTTTTCCTAGGACGCTAGGCACGAGCCTGGGATTGTTTTTCACATTACTTCAGGCTTGACCTAGGGGTTGCGGCATTATAACTTAGATAAAATCCATTGGTGAATTAGCGGGGATCGAACCCGAGACCTCAGGGACTCCCGCGCTCTGGCTCTAACCACTACGCCAGCTCGCTCCCCAGATTGTGAGTCTAACACATAATAATGTGCAATTTTGCAACACATCAATACACGTTTGTACAAACTTTGATGTTCAAATTGTTTGAAATTTCTGACGAGAATCCAAATCCATGTTAGCCTATATGAGAGGGGTGTTGCGGACATTTCCTATAGTTATAAACAAATGTTCATGACGTTTTGGGATGTGGAATCCAATGACCTCAGGTGATAAACCAAAAATGAAATTCAAACAGAACAGTGATCAGACCTTTTCCGTTAATTCACTACTACTAGTCCACTAGTGGAATGTAGTTAGGTTAGGTTAGGTTTTTCTAACTCTATACTAACCTAAACAAAGTTTAATTCACTACCTACCACTTCTATTTCTAATCTACTGCTCTAAAAACCAGTGGTAGTGAGTTAACTGAAAAGGTCCCAGAGATCTAGATAGTTTAACACACAAACACTAGAATGACTTCTCACCAAGCAAATCTCATATGGAACACTTCGTCGAGCATAAGCTTGCTGAGCGTGATTCCTCGGTGCATGGTGCCGCAGAAAATCCCGACGCCCACCATGCACATGATGGTGGCGATGAGGGTGGCATACGGAATCCTGGTGAGGCAGTCATCCCACCTTTGGCCTGAAACCACCACATAACCATCAATCATCACATAATCTACGTTTGCATCAGGTAGAACTGAGGTACTTATACATAAAATGCTAGTGAAAAAACAGACACCTCTCATAAAACTTAAGGCCTCTACTTTCACTCGGTAAAGAGTAAAGGGAACTTAATTGGGAGAGAATATAATTACTAAATATTTGCTGCAATTTGAGGGACGAGCTTTAATGGGTTTACAAGTGAGGTCAGATAAGAGTACAACATTATCTGTGGCGGGACCGTCAGGTATGATCAGTTGCTGAGTCGTCCAAAGAAGCGAGTGATTTTCCCTGCTACAGTAAAACACTGTAGGGGGTCACAGTCATATCTTGTTAAGGCTACTGTCACCAGAATTTCTAGCTGCGGTTGCATAACTGGTGACCAGTTACAATCACAATAGCTGGAAAAAATTATTTTGTGATTATAATTTGAATCATAGACCTATGCACATATTTTGATTTTTCTTTTCTTTTTCAGGTCACTTTTATCCATGTTTTCAGGTCCTGCCTGAGCTGTTGGAAATAATATAAGACTAAAATACTTATGTAATTCACAAACAATATGTTTATTCAGGACATGTTTCAGTGTTTCTGAATAAACATATAATTTGAACTGTTGTGTAATTTTTGCGGCTAATTCTATAATCTTTCATTATAGGTTCCAAATCATACTGTGATTTAAGCATAAGTTATTTATTGTGTTTCTAATATCGAGTAGTCTACTGAATAAAATATATATACTCTTTTATCAATGAACTAGCTGTACCCACGGGCTTTGCCCCATTTTACTTCATAAGTGAGCTCGTTCGCATGGCTCAATCACGTCCTTTTTGGTTGCAAATTAGCTGTACGGTAGTCATAAATTAAAATAAAATAGTGCTGAACCCTGTTGGTAATCCTTGTAACTTAAATGCTATTCCACATCATAGAACAGAACCAACTTGTTTAATTGAAACAGCTGTTAATATTCATTAATTCCATTTAAATATGAGTACTCATAAGGTTAACATGGGAAACTCCAGAGCCACTGGGGCGGAGCCCGAGAGTCGGATCAGAATAAAAATAGCTTAGTTTTCCTATTTAATGCCTAAAGAATCAGTGTACCAAATTTCAGCCTCCTAGGTAAATGGGAAGTGGGAGAATTAGTGATGAGTGAGTGAGTGAGTGAGTGTGTCAGTGAGGGCTTTGCCTTTTATATATTTAGACTAGCTGTAACCCACGGGCTTTGCCCCGTTTAACTTCTTAATTTTCAAGATTATCTCGTTCGCATGGCTCAATCACGTCCTTGTTGAAGTTTGTTCGCTACGCTCACTCACCTTTAGGTTGGAGCTAGTTCGCTACGCTCACTCACCTTTAGGTTGGAGCTCGTTCGCTGCGCTCACTTGCCTTCAGTTTAGCTCGTTCGCTTCGCTAACTCGCCTCCAGGTTGAAGTTCGTTCGCTACGCTCACTCACCTTTTGGTTGCAAATTAGCTGTTCTCATAAATGTAAAAGAAATAATAGTGCTGCACCCTGTTGGTAATCCTTGTAACTTTAATGCTATTGAACATCATAGAACAGGACCAACTTGTTTAATTGAAACAGCTGTTAAGATTCAATAATTCCATTTCTCATTAGGTTAACATGGGAAACTCCAGAGCCACTGGGGCGGAGCCCGAAAGGATTTTTGAAATAAGAATATGCCTATATGTTAATCGGGAATGTCAGCTATCATCATGCCAAATTTCAGCCCAATCCGACCAGTATTTTTCGCGTTCACTTGTCACAAACATACATCCATACATCCATATATCCATACATCCAAACTTTCTCATTTATAATATTAGTAGGATATTCAGAAGGGGTGTTTGTCATGGCGACAAAGACACCCAAGGTGTCCAAACCAGGCAAAAATTTCAACCTTTCAGTTGATTTTTTTTAACCATACCAGTAAATAGAGTTTCAAGATGTTATATTCTATTCTCAAAATCGTGTCATTGATTATGGAAATCGGTAAGAATCCATGAACGTTTTTGTATACTTGCATCGACACCTCTGTATATACTGAATATTTCCCATATATAGACATGAAAACCGTTGTAAGTGAGTGTGTAAGGGATAGACTTGTCGTCTAGTGTAGCCAATGCTGTAAGATAACATGGGGAGCGTATTTGTCACCGCAACCACAAAACGTCTCGGACACGTTTATTTTTCTGTTGCCGGTGGTCGCTGGTTGCTCAGTGTGGCCTTAGCCTTTGTTTCAATAAAGTAAAAACATGTGAGTGAAATTCTAGGAATATGTTTCTCAGAATAGTGATATGAACAAGACTAGGCCTACCAACACCCAGTTTTTATTTACAAAGTTTTTTTACAAAATAAAATGTCACAGGCAACGTGCCTGCTTTAGGTTAATGACCTTTTTAGCAAACAAAACCCTTGAATTTTGTTATACAAACCTCGTTGTTAGTGACAATAAATTAAATACCTATTTACAATGGGTTATCACTACCACATCCACAAAATACATGCAACTACCATTCAATAAAAAAAATCAAAAGAGAAAGAGTTTTTTACCACAAATAATGTTCACAAATCTACCAACAAAATACTTACAGTCAAGACCTTAAATTTGTCTCCTTCCAAGAAGTAAAAAACCATTAAAGTCAGATTTATTCTAGAGTTATAACTCATGAGTGTAGTGGGTTTCGTAACAATTTTACTAACTTTGTACAGTGTGCTTCTGAGTTGGCCGAAAAAAAACCCAATAAACTTGTAAATCTTTAGATAGATTTAGAGAAGTACCCTAAGCCCTGTAAGTAAAACAAACCCCCAGTTTTCTTTAAGTTACTGTGTTTTTAATAACTTACCACAGGTTTTAGTATCTTGTATGCGATATGGATAATGTAATGAATGCTCTGAAAATCTTCCAATGCTTTCATGAGAATAGCCATATCTAGGTTGACGCAAAGGAGAAGTGGCTGATGGTTCCATTTCCACTTCTTCCAAAGAACTTGATCTTCTTGATCTACCCATGAATAATTATTGATGTCCGAAAATTATAAGTTCCGAAGACACTCACATGAAGTTATGTAGAAAGTTCCTCATATTTCATTCTAAATAAAAAATTAAATTCAGGTTTAGATTAACAAAGAGGTTTACGTTTGGAAGAAAAGTAGTATGATAAGTGTTAAGGATGATGTTAAGTAAAGGGTCCTCAATCTAATCCATTTTGAAATAAGCACATGTTATCTTTAAAGGCAAATTTAATTGATAAATGATACAGCATTGAATGCACATTGGACAGGTACAATTCGGATCCCCTACTCCATCAGAAGAGTTTTTGATTAGTTCTGTGAAAAGTGTTTTATCATTAACTGTGGATCGCAAACAAATCATATCATCAAAAAGAATCATTAAATCATTAATATTTTACTGGCCTGGAAAAATCAAAATGTGACAGTGTCCACTGGGTTCATCAAATTAATCAGGAACATGAGGAAATGGGCATTTTTTACATTGTTTCAGAACTTTAGAACGACTAGCAAAAGTTTTTAAAGTATTTCCCCGTGTCAACAAGTGAAATTAAAATTTCAGGGTCACTGCACAAAAGTAAAAAAAAACTTTAATTTAGCCTCCTTACCTAGGTACTGTAGGCCTACAGAAATTACAAAAATTTAGATCAGGGATAGGCCTATTGAAATGTTCAATTTAAATTCAAACTCTTTTGATTGGTTCGTATAATAAGAAAAGTAGTGTGTTAAAATAAGCGGAGACTGAATGGAAAGGCAATTCATATTAGGAGAAATAACTATCCTAACACCTTTTGAAGTTATATGATTGAAGATACATTAGACTGAGCTTAAAGCAGCAATTTATTAATTTGACAGCTTTGCTATAGGCTATTTCCCCACCAATTTAACAGCATAGCTTAAACCCCAAAGGTCGCTTGGATAATTAATTTACTAAAGGAACGAAACAAGTTTTAAAAAACTAAGATGGCTAAGACTAAGATGGATAACTTAAGACAGATATAAAATGTATTCATACATAAGTTTAGATTTAAGTAGGCTAACTGTAATAATACAATACAAAAAACATTCAGGAACCTACGGGTAATTAGGCCTAGGGCCTACTAGGTTATTAAACACTTAAAAACAACTGTAGGCTACTACCAATATTATATAGCCTACTACCAATTATTATTATAACCATCAATCAAACCATATAGTTTACTCACTACTCTATGCTCTAAAAAAAAGTCTGTGAAAATAGCATAGACCTAGCCTACTGTACTTGCCTGTGTTTCAAACGATAGACAAATATTGGTTTTTGGTTATCAATTTAAATCGATACATTTATGTTCGATAGAACAATGAAGTCGGATATCATAGTTAACAGACCTACACCACACCTATCACTAAGTTAGGTTTATTTCTAGTTCGCTTCGCGGAGTCGGATTTAAACATTTTTCCATTTCCCCTCTGTGAAATACCTCTTATTACTAGCATAGCTAGGTTTTAAATTTGGATCTACCGATACAACGTAGTCAGTTAGGCATATGGGGCTTAGATATGCATATATATTAAGTTATAGGCTCAGATAGGCCTTAAGCTAAACCACTTTTAACTCATTAGCAAACCACAAAGACATCCCATTTTTGGAGAGCATTACGATTATTTTACTGTGTTTGAAAACTAGCTTAGTGTACCTATATAAAAGTATAGGTCTAGGTCTACTGGTGTAACTTGTCCGCTAAACCTTATCAATTGTATAGAAAGAAATAGTTAGGCCTATCCTTGTGTAGTGAAAAAGCAATGAGTGCAATAAAAATAAGCAAAAATTACTATGTTTTTATTTACATCAGTTAATAGCATTGGATGATTAAAAAAAGCACACACAGCCTACATAAAGCTTGGGATGCAGTGCATAAGCAACATGCTGAAGCTAGCGTTTTAGCCTAAAATTCCTACTTACCCATATTGAACTAGTTTATTTGAAGCACCAGAAAACTTGGTATGTTTCTGATTATTATGATGAAATAAATTGAATTCAATGATTCAAATTCGATTCCAAGAGGGCATCGCGAATCATCCTGGATTGCTAACAAAGAAAAGGTGGATGAATAGAAGATTCCACCAGGATAGAAGGGCAAGACAATTCAATTATTACAATATAAGCTAATAAAAATCACAACACGATCAACTTAAATCAAACAATACAAGTGCGTGATTAAATTAAGCAAAAATATTTTAACCCAAATTAAACAAATTAACAACTGGAACTGACAGAAGAAGACGACAGTGACGTCTCGATCTGTAAGTAAAGTGTAAACATTTAAGGATTTAAGCCTCTGAGATTTCATTTCTATGCCAAGCCCAACTTGTATGACGGAAGTGTACACGGCGTGGCATACTATATATAAAGCACGTAACAAATTTAGGAATGTAATAAATAATTACCTTCTTTCTCTGAAATGGTTACAATTTTGGCATCATTGACTTTAAATGGTCAAAGTATAAGTGTAAATTTATGTAAAGTGTAAGTATTAATTTGTCTGACATGGTCGACAAATTAATACTAAAACATAAAAACAAAAATAAAGCTCGAACCACGATTCCAGGAAAAATTGTTTATGCTTCAACAGAATATGGCACTAGTCTTTAAAAAATGAACAACACTTTAAAAAATGAGCCGTCAAGAAACAATGTTAAGTTATCTTTTAGGACCTCTAACAAATTATCATCCATCCTAAAAGAAAAAAAGAAAACCCTCTTCTGACAAAACTGAGCTAACAGGTGTTTACAAAATTAATTGTAACACCTGTCCTAGTTTTTATATAGGTCAAACTGCGCGCTCTTTCAAAGCCCGTTTCAAAGAACACCTTCCGAAGAAATCCACCCAGAAAAATAATTCTGCGTTTGCTGAGCACCTAATAACGAACAACCATTCATATACATCAATAGAAAATAATTTAGAAATTTTACAAATTCACAGAACTAAAGGCAAACACTTAAACGTAATAGAAGAATTTGAGATCTACAAAGCTGCAAGAAAAATCCCCAACACATTTTGAACGAAAAAACATCTTTTGAAAGCAATTTATTATATGAAACAGCAGTCGGCATTGAAAGAATTATAACAACATGGAAAGGACCTGATAAGAGCTGGAAGAAGGGGAGGGGGATGACAGATGGACAAGCCGGCAGCACAGAAAACGTACTAGGTACTTTTTCTGTGACGGCAGTGACGACAGTCTGGACTTGTAACTCAATGTGCACATACCGTCCGCCGCGAAGTCAATTTGTGGCCACACGTGTTTTTGTAAAAATGTGTTTAAGTGTTAGTGGGTACTTTCCTGTTAAAGGGAACATTCATTATTATCGATGATTTTTTCTCGATGTATCGATGTTTTTGTTTTCCGATCCATTACAAATTGACAACATAACTAACTGATCTTGTTTAGGCCAAAATAGTCTAAGAAATGAAACTGTTTCTAAGCTAACCTAACATAACCAACCAAACTTGCTGTACCATTTAAAAATTCCGTTTGGGTTTGAATATAAAAGGCAAGTTATAAACACGGAATTTTTAAATGTTACAGCATGTTTGGTTATTTTTTTAGAACAGTTTCATTTCATTAATGTTTGTTGATACTAAACAATATTTTTCGTAGTTGTCAGCTGATATGTTTCAATTTGTTAATATCGATATATCGAGGAAAAAATCAACTACATTTGATCGGCCTAAGTCCCCTTCAGAGCCCAGGGCCTCGGGGCTCTGCCCCCCTGTCCCACCCTCTACCCGGCCCAGCATTCAGTCGTCCAGTGGTCCAGTTCAAATTCAGTCAAATTATTAATTGGTTCTATAGTCTGTGGTAGTGGTAGCACTTAAACTTAAGCAATATCATAAAAGTGTATCTTATTTTTGTTAAATTTAAATGCATACTTTTACGTTTTACATTACAGAGTTGTTACTATTTCTGTGATCAAATGTCTATGGCTTTTAATACAAATGTTTTTCGAAAATTATAACACGTCTTTTTACTATATTGTTTTAAGTATTAAACCGGATTAACCACAGCCAAGCAAGGCTCAATACAAACTGAATTAAGTAATCAAGTACAATGTGCAATAGTATGTTATTAAAATTATATGAGAACCTACTGACATTATGGTTCTTGTTGTTGTTCTAATTAAAATTTACATCAATGCTAGCAGTCTAGCCAAATTCACGTGACATTACATTTTTATAGCTGTTGTTAATTACTTCAAATTCATAATACCGTGCCATAAACACATTGGCACGAATGTCGTCCGTGTCATTACAATCATAAGAAATATTTATCTTAGCATCTCAATGCGTTTATGTATCATACGAAAGTTAAACATTTAAATAATATTGTTTTGAAACATACCAGTTCTAGTAGTAGGCCTATCATTGACTATATATGGTAGCTGTACCTGTTTATAGTGACTTGAATAATTCAAGGGATCGATGTACTACCTATAATTAGTGAGGACAAATGCTATCAATAGCGTATGATGCAATAATTCTACATTAGGTACGTCAAGATATTTCAGAATTCAATTTTTCGAATGGAAAACTGTTTGTTTGTATTCTGAATGTTAACATGACTCTTCCATAAATATGTGCTTAACATCTATTGTTCAGTAAACTTCAATATTCTATATTAAATTCTCTATGCTCTTTGTTTACAACTCTTTTCCCAGCAATATGTGTCGTAATTCTATTTATTTCCGGAGTGTGGGAACTGTTTATGATGATTAGATTAAGGTATCTGGAATCCTAAAATGCTATGGGAAGGGAGGGAAACAGGTCCGCTGAGTAGGAAGTGGCTAAGGAAGTAGTAGTAAAGGCGAGCAGTGTGGATTTTGGGAATGGATTTATGTATCTGCAATACTAAGACTACTTTCATAATAAACTAATAAATTTCCCCGAGCAAAGCTCGGTCCCCAGGTACTGTAAATAAATCAGTGTCTTGTTCTCTTGTAACCTTAAAAGTTGTGTCTAATTGTTTCTCTCATATATTCTATATTTCTCATACATAAACATTTTACCTCCTGGTCCTTCAAAATCTTTATCATTACTCTCTATCTAATTTATTCTCTTCTCATCACTATATTAAGAATTATTAATGGTTATAATAATTACCATAATTATGGCCATAAATAATTATTAATGGTAATAATTATTAATCTCATCACTAATTATAATTTTATGCCAGCACTCTCTAAATAATATTTTATTCCCATAATAATACAATTCTCTGTCTCTCAGAACAAATCATGTACTGTACATATATTTCGGTCTCTTGCTATTTTGAAACTCTTGGAAGCCTACAGGATGTAACTGTAATGAACAGTTATTTTATTTTAAAAGTTAAATTCAAAAGCTATTCTGTAACTGTACGGAATCCGGAATGTGTGCGTGACAGACCTGTCTCTTGTTATACGAATTTAAATGTTTTTTTATCGCGTTTCGTGTGTTTGTAAAGTTTGACGACGCCAAATCTGGTGCATATAGTCTACACATCTGATGATGACATTTTGATGCCGAAACGGCTGTAATGGAAACTACAGAGCTGTGATGAGGTAATTATGTTATTAGGCCTAGGCCTATAGTAAAGTCATGAATTCAGCTCAGGGGCAAATCATGTCTATTGATGTTTTAATATTGTGTTGTGTAGATTACCTATTTCTTGAAGTGTGATGGACAATTTAAGCTTGACAAATGACAAGCTGTTAGATAGTTGATTTCCTAAGCTTAGACCACAACATCCCGGGGCCAGATTACAGTAAGGCCAATATCCGACCAGCGGATGTTGACTCAATGACTGTCTCAATCACTACACTCACCTCATCTCCGTGCCACAATAAGTAAGCTTGACAAGCTGTTTGATAGTTGATTTCCTAAGCTTAGACCACAACATCCCGGGGCCAGATTACAGTAAGGCAAATATCCGACCAGCGGATGTTGACTCAATGACTGTCTCAATCACTACACTCCCCTCATCTCCGTGCCACAATAAGTAAGCTTGACAAGCTGTTAGATAGTTGATTTCCTAAGCTTAGACCACAACATCCCGGGGCCAGATTACAGTAAGGCAAATATCCGACCAGCGGATGTTGACTCAATGACTGTCTCAATCACTACACTCCCCTCATCTCCGTGCCACAATAAGTAAGCTTGACAAGCTGTTTGATAGTTGATTTCCTAAGCTTAGACCACAACATCCCGGGGCCAGATTACAGTAAGGCCAATATCAGACCAGCGGATGTTGACTCAATGACTGTCTCAATCACTACACTCACCTCATCTCCGTGCCACAATAAGTAAGCTTGACAAGCTGTTTGATAGTTGATTTCCTAAGCTTAGACCACAACATCCCGGGGCCAGATTACAGTAAGGCCAATATCCGACCAGCGGATGTTGACTCAATGACTGTCTCAATCACTACACTCGCCTCATCTCCGTGCCACAACAAAATATTGTAGAGAAACGGATAATAATTTGTTTTGTCATCAACAACTGGATTAGGGATTTAGGTTTATATTTATTATTTTCCATCCACCAAATTAAAAATATGTTTAATAGCTCAAAAATAATTCTAACTACCCCTACTCATTTTAGTCTCAGTTTTTAAAGCAAAATTAGGTGTGGTAACTTATGTATCCTAGGAGTAATATTTTTTCCCTATCAATCTCTTACCGTACTGAATTTTCTCTTTTTTTATCTGTGTTTAATTTTATTACCAAAACAGTAGTTTTTTAAATACTTATTTATGTCATTCATATAACAGAAGATCATTCTCATGTTAGTGCCAGGGGTTGAAAAAGAAAAACTGTTTATTTATCACATACCCTGAGCAATAACCCTTTAATTTAAATTCACGCATCATTTTCCTGCGACTTACAAAATTCTCCAAGTATTTTTTTTTATAATGTGTATTGAATACATCTATTTAAATCATTTTGTACATTTTAGGCTTTATGAAACTTGTTGTAAGAGTAAGATTTATCGTTGATGTCCACATCACCAAAACATATTCACTACCGGTATTTAAAAATGTAAAGTAGAAAATACAGATTTGAAATTAGACGCCTACCCTTTAACCGTTTGAATTCCCTCTGGTAACCGAGCTCATCAAGCTGTTTGTTTTAATCCATAAAAAACGGAATAAAAAACAGTTTTTTATAAGCGTCAAATAATCTTCATAAAACTTATTTATCTTTGTTTTAGGAGTTAAGAAATCTTTAACTAAATAGGATTTTTAAATTTCTCAAGAGGTTTC